GGTATGATTCTGTCATACAAATGTATGCTCTAAATAATAACAATTGGCAGGATGAAATATTTAATATCTTATCACCGAAATTGAAGCCAAACCATAGGATATCTTGGGAAGTTACCGAGGTTCTCCTCAGGATTTGTGGCATTTCCTAGTCCTTTCTCCTTTGGATTCCAAAATAAAATATTCCAAATTTGAGCATTTCCCATTTCACACCTCTTTGTCTGATGTTGTCCAACCTTCAAAATTCCTACCTTTTGAAATTCTTGAAGGCATGATTTTATGATTTAAATCGAGAGTTTTCTTAAGTGACGTCGATCATTTAAGATGTAATTAACTATAGGGGCTTGAAGGAAGAGAATGCAAAAGAACTTCAATACATTTAGTAGAGAGGATTTACGATAAGTGTTTATCTTTGAGACTATATTTGGTTTTAATTTAGATTTCTTGTTTGTGTGCATGATTTCTACTTTTAAACTCATGTGTAGTTGTGTTTTCTCCATAGATTCTGAGTAGTTTTTTTTATATTTTTCCTTAAAATGATAAGTAATTAAGTATTTAAAGGAATTTGTGTGAAGTATTAGACTTCAATGTAAGAAGAAGTTGTGATGATTTGAAAGTTTGTATTTCATTTACTTCTTGATTTGGTCAATTAAGATATTAATACATGTTGTGAGAACATGTAAGATCCGGGATGGTATTGTCTCAGTCAACAAATTATTAGAATCACATAATGATTTCATGGATGAGAACATAGTTCATGGGGTTAAGTGCAAATAAATAAAGAAATAAACTTTTCAATGGTGTAGAATTAGAGGACTTTAGAGTGAAAGGTTAAAGCTCCCAATTTGATTTATAGTTTTAGGTTTTGATACGAGATGTTAGCCCTCTTGTAGAGGGAGAAGAGGGAACTCTAGACTGAGAGCTAGTATCTTCCATATCTAACCAGTCTTTAAGACTATTCAAACTATAGATTAGCCAATGTTCTTTATAGCATCTCTAGTAAAGGTAAATAATATTATTGCTCCTATTTGGCACAACACATATAACATACTTCTACAACAGAATTTTTATACTTACTACTGATTCATGATAAGGAAAAAAATATTTTACTTATATTGTCTTCATCTTGCAAATGATTAGTTAAATTAATTAGTTGCTTACTTTATTTTCATAAATCAAAAATTACAAAAAGAATCAATTTTTTATTCTTATTATAACACCTTAAGTTTAAGTAAGAATATTTTGCTAAGTAGATTTTTGTTATCTAAACTTTCAAGCTTTATAAAGTGCATATTGTCAGTTTCTATGTGGGTTCAATATTCGGAGTTTAATCAAAAAATTTTATATTACTTGATAACAATAAATATACTTGCATAGTATCGCATAATTAAATATTATAACCGTATTCTTATTTGCTTCTTAGTGAAAAATTTACATAGCTTTTTCTTTGAATCATGTATTTAGCTTAGTTGTAAAATATGAATTTTTATTAAGGAAATTAAGCTTATAATCGCGTACATCGCATTTTACATCTATATAGAAATTTGGGATCAGTCAGCACATAAAAAATCGTTCGCAGACCAAACGGATGTCATAAATTCTTTAGTTTATCTAATCGAGTCTCACAGTGAGTAGTGTATCTATCCTTCGAGGTACGTATATTGCTTACATTATTGTCCTTGATTATTTAAATTATTGTCTATTGGGATCTATCCGGTCACGTATTTTCAAAAAATTAAAATATTACTTTTTCAAAATTAAAACAATATTTTTCTAAAAACCCAATTTTTTTATTATATTAAATTATAAACACACACACGCACTTTTCCCCGCCAACTAGAATAATCAAGGATCCTTTGGTAAATCTTAAAGTAATTTTTAGAGCATTTCTATAAGAATTTGTCAAAGTGAAGTCATAGTGGCAACTCGAGAAGGATTTTAAAAGAAAGTGGGATCAAGAAGAATGCTACAAAAGAGACAACATTAGGACATCATCCTAAGTTTTCATCTTTTTTAATCCTATGTGTTATAAGCATGTCTATCCATGTTCATTTTTATTTAGATTTTTCTTAAGCCTAAACTAATCCCCTTTTCTAGCTGTTGGATGAATCATGTTCTTAGTTTGATTAGTTGAAGTTAATTATATGTATTCGATGTTTTAATTTTCCTTATATCATATGTGTTTCATTTGACTTGATATTAAACTATAAAGTTTATGGATATTTGTTAAAAACAAAAGAGGCTTAGTCAAGATACAGAAGTGGGGGATGGATTTAACGTGGCCAAAATATTGTAGTGAATAGATCATAAGTTTGTGATAACTGTAAAGAATTTGTTTGGTATTTATTGATATCCTAGGAGTGCTAATGATACTTATCATATTGAATATATCATGGAAAGATAGGTAAATCATGAGAGAGTGAGAGAGAGGGAGTGCAAAACACATGGCATTCAAAAGAAAAGTGACACCCACATTTGATCAAACTTTAATATCATTAAATCAATTGACTCCTTAATTTGATTATCGACTTGTCTAATCATCACATATAAAATCCAACATTTAGAATCTTCATACCCTTACTTTTTTACCATTTAATTAAATCATCAATCAAGTTAAACAATGTCTTCTTTTTTATCTTAGTGTTAGGTATTATTGTAACATCACTCATATATAGTCATTTATATGATAGTTCATTGATATAAATTTAATTATTATTAAGTCAAGCTCTACGAGATGGTACGATTACTCGTCATTTTACTACTTATGTGACCATATAATCTAACATTTGCATTGATAATCACATCAAATATGATCCTCAACCCATAGTCGAGCCAATCATTTAATCAAGCATTTCAAGATTCATCCAATAATATTTCATATGAATCAAAACTTCTAATTTAGTGAATTAGCCATGGAGGAACCGGACACATGTATTTTAAACTTCTTAAAAAATTGCAGCAACTTCAAGTACAATAGAGTGTTGAATGATCCTATCAGATTGATGATCTTTTCTTTCCAATTGAGGGATAAAACAAAGGGCTAACTCAACTCTCTTCCCAGTGAACCCATAACGAGCTGGGATAGCCTGATGTATAAGTTTTCATCAAAGTACTTCTCTCAAGGTAAGACTGTCAAAATATGGATCAAGCTTTCTAATATTGTACATATGGGGAGATCTATATGACACAAGTAACATCTTGTAAGGAAGTGCCCACACCATGGGCTACCTTTATGGACACAAGAATAAATTTTCTACAACTGATAAGTAGGGCCAACAAAGACAATTATAAATGTCATAGTAGGTAGCACCATCATAAGCAATTTCGTAGAAGGCAACTTATGATATTATGGAAGAAATGTCGATGACAACTACCACTAGACAAGCGGGAGGATTTATTTAAGAAAAAAATATTTATTAATGTTCATTGCTTGCACATTTAAGATTGAATTATTAGAAAAGCATGTTGCCCCTAACAAAGGCTTTTCATTAAATAAAGGTGCACCAGCTATGTCTTTTATGAGTCTAAACACATATTTTTCTAAGAAGTAAGATTGGAACATGCAAAATCTTAAGTTAATTTTACTTTCTTGGTATAAAAAGGGAATAAAACATGCAATGTTCTTTGAGAGGACCTACTTAGTTGCCTTCTAAGCCTAAACTGATAAGCTAGTTCTTCACATTTCTTAAATCTTAAGTTGACTAATATTGTGTTCATCATGATGATATTGGCTTCTTATAGTTGATCCTATGGCTGAGAAAGCATAATCACTAGACGTGTCCAACCTTGTTGATCCAAACTGTTGACTTCCTATAGTTATTTAGTCAACTTGATCAGAATGGCATTAGGCGCACGCACATTCTATAACATGTAAGATTAAATACAATATAAATGATCCAAGTATAAAATTTAAATTAGCAAAAATCATGAATTAGAATTCTTAATAGCAACTTAATTTTTTTTTAATTAGAAGCTTCAAATGGTCGAAGGCACCAGTAAATTAGAGCAATATGTTTAAATATCCATAAACAAAATCAATAGAATTCACAAATCCCTCGAGCAATTACATTTTTTTTTTCAATTTCTAGTGAAGTGATTATGCGAAAATTATAGTGAAATAGTTTATGCTTCTTGACATGTAAGAAAGTTATGAAGTAACCAGCAGTAGACTTGATGGACACATTACGGAGGCTGAGAAGCACACCAGAAGTGGGAATTATATTAGAAGTGATGAGAAAATTTTGTTAAGTATTATTGACTTAACCAAGGGTTGTTAAGAGGAATAGGGTTAATACGGTATAAGAGGTGTAGAGGTATGGTTCCTACAGGCATGTGGAGGTGTAATAGACATAATTCAGGTTTAGTTTTAAGGCGAAACCTGAAAGCAAAAATGGCATCAGTCAGAAGATGATCAAGGTTATTTATTGGTTTTGATACGAGGGCTAAAATTAACAGAGGAAAATCCTATATTATAACCTTTGTTGGCGTATAAAAAGAAGATAAAAACTTGTTCGAGGTACCATGAACAACGTTTTCGATTGCATATAGCCACCATGGCTTCGAATGAGGTCATACCTTTTTCCTAATTTTCAAACACCTATCTTTCAACTTCAAGCCACCACCTAACTTTAAACCACCTCTTCAACTCAAATTAGAATTTTAAATATTAAAATGATACAAGATGTCATTATTCCCATGTATAAATAGTATATGTGATACATCAATTATCATGTAACAGGCATAAATCCTACATTTATTTACATACCTTGAGTAAACTAAACGATTCCAAACCACTAAAGCAATTGTAAAACTGTCAACCTCATCCGATGATCCCAATGTTTAAAAAAACAAAAAAATTAATGCAAAATGCGCTAAATATTTCAACTCAACTGTTTCCAACAGTCATATGCACGAGAAGTGTACGCTAGGCAGGTTATTCAGAAACCTAACTGTACCTTCTTGTAGGTTTCACGCTTCTGTTTTCATATATTTGTAGGTTAGTAGGTTACATGGGGTATAACGCGGATATAACCTCTCAATACCCTCTGAATAACCTCTCTGACGTACGGAGTGCTGTTTAAGTCTTACGTACGCAAATTTTTCTCCATATGCACAGACGACCTACGCTCTCAAAAGAGCCACGGCCAAGGAAACTATAATTTATTGATTCTAATACATTTACAAAACTAGCACTCATTAGTTGTCCTTTAATCGGCACTTAGAGTCCACATACCATTCCACATCCCACAAGAAAGTTCCAAAAGCCACTGCTTCCAGGATCAATCTTTTTAATCCTGAAACTAAAAGAGTAACAACCTCATCCTTGTCAAGGGAACTGGTCTCCGGATTTCCAAACAGAGCCCAGCTGTGGTTCTCAATTAGATTTGCAGCCTCAAAAGATCTCAACTTTGAGCATAGCTTTAAAGTGGCTGAATTGAATCCCATCATGTAGCCTCTTAGCTTATCAGCTTTACTTCCCTGTGCAGCAGCATACAGGGAAGCAGCTTTGTCCGCAAAACAGCCTAGAGTGGCCGCATTCTCCCGGCCCTGCTTCCAAAAATGGGGCCGAGATACATGCATTTTTTGATCCCATAAATGATCTTCGTTGTTTGAAGAAAGACTGAGTTCCAGAGAGTGTCTCAGGTTGACGGATTTCAGGAAATACCCATACATTATGGAAGCAGCATAAAGCCGGCCAAGCTGTAGCCTCTCAATCTTAAGTGTTGTCCAGTTGCCGGTGGAATCAGATTTCCCCTGCAGTCTGAGAATGTTTGAGAGGTGTTCTCTCACCATATCCAGAAGCTCAATTCCATGTATTGATCCTAGTTCTTGATCCTTTGATGACCAGATGTCAATCCTACCGTTGCTTATGCATTTGGATAAGTTGGGGACCATGGGGACGTTGATCTTATAGAAGCTGTGGACTATTAGCATGTACATGACCTCCTCAGCTGCTCGCTGGCACTCAATTTCTTTCATTTTTGCTATCCTCCTGTGATTCAGAATATTAATGGATGAAGTCAATATTTTGGAGAAACCAAAAAGGGTACATTCGTTAACACTAAACCCACAAAGAAAGATTTGGATGTTAAATAGAAACTACAGTTATCATTCCAGACAAAGCAATGTAAAGGGCCAATTTAAGAAAAACAAATAGAACTGAAGATTTTTGAGTTATGAATCTCGTGATTTCTCTTCTTAAACGAACGGTCATGACTTAATGAAGCAGAACAACTTCAAAACGAGTAAAATTTGGTTCCTGAAGTCCTCACAGCCTACAAGTACCAAATTCATTCTGTGAGGAACTCAGTATTTGTTTAGTAAGACACCTTTCACTCATCAGTGAATTAAAGCAAAGGTCATCTGTATGTTCCAATTGCAAATAGAAATTCAAAAAAGCAGGGCCAAACTTTCAATGACAAAAGCTAACATAATTATGTTGCTCATAGCCTGGTTTTCTAGTTCAGGATTAAGTTCAGTAAACTACATCAAAAGAAAATAGGTTCAGGACAGCAACCTAGAAAAAAAGGTAAAAAAAAAACTATGAAAAAGTTAGTCGAGAAATTCCGGTAGATTTCAACGTCTACAAGAGAATTCCATTCCCTGAAGTATTGACTTATTTAGAACTAAGCAACTAAACTTCTTCAGCCATATAGTTCCAGAAATATCATTGCTTCAATCATACGATCCCTTCTAAGTTCTAACCTATCAGAGCTAATCATTAAAATCAAAGTTCTAACCTATCAGAGCTAATCATTAAAATCAAAGATAGGTGCATGTACCAAATCAGAAGTTTGTTTATGTAGATCATTGCTACCCAGAAAAGGGGATAAAAAAATATAGCTAATGGTACAAACTTTACTGCATTCAAATTCCTTTTATCATTCATTTCGTAGACCTGACATGAATTTAGTTGAGAATATCCACAGCGGAATTAATATTAATGATTCCTCTCATTAACTAATATTATGTTGCATCTGTCAAGCTGTTGATGAATATAGGACATGATTAAAAGCTGCAAACCGCCAAGAGTAACGAAATATTTTGACTTCATCTAATTTTGTTGCGGACTTGTATCATAAAACAAATATTAGAATAGCAAAGTTGCTTCCTGTTAATAAATAAGGATTATTGTCCAGGGAAAAAGGTTGAGCACATAAAAATGCATCATTCTGCCGTCATGCAAAAGTGCATGTGATGATGGGGACCTCTAGGCATTATTAGCACCGGAAATGCAAGTATGTGGCAATTCAATAATATTTCAAAAATAAATTTTCCCTGAAAAAAAAGAGTGATCAAAGCTAGCATCTAGAGATTCTTCAATTTGTTTTCAACCAATGTGTTGCACATTCAAGCATAGGATCATTCAAAACTGACATTGCCATTTTACTTTGCATTTAACAGCTTTGTTTATGCAGTTAAAGTGCAGCAATCAAACCTTACCTCACCATAAGATAAATTATGATAAGACTTTAGTCATTCATGATATCCAACAATAAGACTGGAAAAATCTAAAACAATCTTGATTTTTGAAATGAATATAAAAAGTACAAACCATTTGATCTATACTTATATACGTTCTATTACTGGGCATTTTGAAAGATAAACATACCCAATATCAATTGATCAAAATCAAACCTATAATTAAGTTGCATGGGTGCATGCATGGCAAGCCATGGGTACATTAGAACACACCAGGGTTCATGTAGATTACATATTCAGCAGCAATCAAAAGGGGACAGACGAATCTCATTCAAAATTCCTAATTTCGTGTCCATTAAGAAAAATGTTTGGTCATGCATATAAAGGAAAAAAAGTTAAAGAAGCCCTTAATATGACGGGAATTATCTTGAGAGTCAATCTCTCAATGTTACACAAATCAAAGAGAGAACTCAGCTTTCATCAAAAGAATATCATGCACTTTGGTTTTCAATAAGAAAAGTACTCATGCGCCATCATCAGTTGAATGAAAAATGATTCATTTTCAGCTGTCATTAACTATCATAGCCAACTTGATCCATTGTCATCATCAGTTCAATGAAAATTTATTATGTTCTCCCCCATAATGTTTATATTCAAAGACAAGAAATGAATTTAGTTGAGCTTGAGAATATAAATAGTGAAATTTATAGAAATGATTACTCTCGTGTATTGATGTTATGTTGCATTGGTAAACTTGTTGATGAGCTTAAGACGTGATTAATAGTTGCTAACCAGTAAGGGTCACGAATTATTACAACATTATTTGAAAGTTTATTCTGTGCATCCATCAAAATGCAAATTTTGGAATAATCAAGATGCTTTTGGTACGAAAAAGTGGTAGAGCCTCATTTATTTTGTCAGTGGAAAAGGCTGAAGCTCTTTAAACACATCAGAATCATCCTTGATAGTGTGCAAGCGAAGCTGTGGAGCTCAGGGGGTACAAATATGCAAGTTTGTGGCATTGCATAGAGCATTTCAAATTTTTACACTTCCATTTGTTTTGCATAGCATGAACACAACATGCGCACGTTCATTTCCATCTATAGTTCCCTCAAGCACTTATTTCTTTTTTATTGTGGTTTCAATTGCAAGATTTGGATTCTGTTATCACGACCCGACCCAGGGCCTGGAACTAACCAAGGCGAGAACAAATGATTGCTCAGTAAAAATCAATTCTTCGCTATTTCTATTACTAACAATTATTCAAATAATACACGAAAGAACCACTAAAGAAAACAATTAAAATAACAAGTGGAAATTTGTATCTTTTTGTTTGTTACTCTTATTTTCTATAAACATTTGATCCTCTTTCATCCATCTTGATAAAATGTCCAACCTAGAAATAATATTAAGGCAACATAATGAATTATCTAGAAATAACACAGAAGTAATCACACTTCTAAACTAAAGTAATCTAAGGAAAAAGAATTCAATTTACATGTTGATATTTTATATCATTACAAGAAATTTATAATATGCTAGCCTTTCATATTTTTATAAGGAATGTGATAATATGTTAATGAATGTATCAATGACATTTTCTAAATGAAAATAGTCAACCATTCTAAATGCTACTACTTTATCTTTAATTTATTTTATACTATTTACATACACATTTATCTCTGTGAGGATCACCTTCAATAAAACTTAATACACCCTTAGCCGAAATTGCCTCGTCGGCTCCCGTAGGCACAACGGCTATTGATATAAACATCACAATTGTCTAAGGTAGAAAGGCTTTTGTCTGTCTCCTAGCCGACATTGCCCCGTCAGCACAACGATTACCAATGTAAACATCACAGTTGTTTGGGGAGATAAGCTCTGGTCTACTTGCCCCTAGTCGATATTATTCAATCGACACAGCAGTTATTGATCTAACCATCACAATTAATCTGGGATGACAAAAAAACTCTACACACATGAGTACACTGACCTCCCCTGTCTATATCAATATTAAGTAAAATTCTCCCTGAATATGGACATACAAGCATTAATATAAAAATAAATTATTCCAATATATATTTATGCGTATTTATTATTATTTTGTTATGCAACTATTTATCATACATAACTCTCATATCATGCATATATTTTATCTCATGCGTATCTATAGCCTCATGCATATTTTTTTCTATCATATTTATCATGTCTATCATGCAATTTTGCATATCATGTCTATTATGAAGATTATTTCTCTCATGCATATATTGTATATCTTTTGTCAAGCATACATTTTCTAATCTAACAGTATGAAAAATCTAACTAAAGTAGAACATATGTAGAGTCAAACATACATTTTGAAATAAAGAAAATTTCTAAAATTTAAAAATGTAATGACTCACTTCAATTGTCATGAAAAAATCTTAATCTTGGGTAACTAGCTAAATGTTGCAGTGACTTCTATATTGAGCTAAATAACCTATAAAACATAAAATTATACTTTAAGATTTAAGCAACTCCTATTAATCAAAGTCATCTTCTTAGCTTAGGATTAATTTTCCTAAATTTTAACAAAGTCATCCTACGTATAGCTTTCACACGCTTGCCTCGAAATTGATGTTTCAGGTAAAAAATATGAAATCTTAAACGACTTAGAAATTCAGGAAATCTTAGATCATAAGTTGATTTAACTCAAAAAATAATTGATTTGTCAAAACATACTTTAAACGGTCTCTCGACAACTCCGCCCTACTCCGAAGTCGTCAAAACTTCTTCCCTCTTCTTTCTCACACTTCAAATCACACTTTCTCATTCACTTGTTTTATGTTAGAACCCCTACGAAAACTCACAAACCACTCATGACACCTCCGACACAAGATTGATGCCTCTGACAGCTACCGGAAACGAACAATACATGAAAAACGAGGCAAAGCTTGAAATGAAAACAAAGGAAAGAAATCAATGTATGAAATAGCGTGAAATAGTTTCATACTCCACCCCGGAGCCCTAAACTGTTGGTTGCAGTACTCTGCAGTCTGCACAATAGTCGAGTGCTACTCTTGCAGGAAGAAGAAATAAGGAGAGGGGAAAAGGTACTCGACACTCTGAGGCTCGTTGGACTTCACTGAGTTGCTCACCCCTTTTTGTCTGCGTCTGCGAACTGAGCTGCAATCGCAGCTCCTCACACATGCTTCTGTTGAGCGCACGACTAAGAGGGAGGGAGGGACGGAGGGAGAGAGGGAAACCAAAAGGAGAGAGAAATCAAAAGCGGAAGAAGAAAATCGAAGACTGGAAGCCATTCGATCAAAACCCTCAAATAAAAAGGCGTGAGGCGGTTTGGAATAGTGAGGGGATTAGGGAAGGTTAATTAAAAGGATAATTAATTTATAACATCTGATTTTTTATCTTTAAATCTATTCACAAATTATATATGGTATTATACATTGAATTGATGGATTTTTCGTGTAGAATTTTATAAAATTATTTTGATTGAAATCCAAGGATCCAAATTTTGGGATATATTTTCAGTCGCAAAATCTTTAATCAAATTTCCCAAAAATTGGTTATTAC